AACCAGATAGATGCAGAAACGTTTTGGTTTTTCCCATTTGCAGATGAAATCAGTCTGCGATGGGTGCCAGTCGGAGGGATATCCGTCAAGTCGAGCAGCCCTGGGGCCAAACGACCTTTCCTGCAAGGCCCTCGCTACCTTATCTGATTCCAGCAGACGGGGAGAGATGATGGCCCTGCCAGCCAGAGCCTTTAATTTTTTAAGTATATCCCTTCGCTTACACACTGCTTTATTGATCGCCAATAGACCTCATAGTGTTTCCAGAATGCAGTATTTGTAATGTGATCACCCAGATGAAAAGGTGGACGGACACTAATCCTCCTTTTGCCCCAGTCTCCAGCAACATCCATGGTGATTCTTCTGGATCGCCCCTGTCAAGTTTGTCATTGCCTGAAGCGCAGATCATTCCTCTCTTCCTGACTTTTTTTTGTCTTTTTGTTTTTAAATGGGGAGGGTTCACCGTATAATCTACACTTAAGCCTCATTTTCATGGAGAATAGTTAAGGCTGGTGACCTCAGAGTTGTCAAATTTGACCCCATCCACCTCAACCACATTTAACATCCACTAATGTGTTCTCCCGTTTGCAATAGGGTCGAGTCAAATTAAACACGTAACGCAAAAGCAGTCTGGTCGATTACTGTATTCGTACAGGACCTTTCAGCAGCATTGATTTTCACTTCATTCATGATTGTTTTTGACCACAGGCTACAACCTCTATGGACCTGACACATTTCTCTGTGTTGAACTGCACCAGGCAACAGTACAGAGTAGGAAGCATCTGCCTTGTCACTCCAACCAGATGGCAGCAGAAAGTATGTAAATTGGTTCATTAACCTTACAGTGCTTAAACCAGTGGACCATGCAGAGGGCTCATTCCATCCGGGTTTTCTTGTATTTTATTAACGCCCATTAATGGCATCGGGAAACTTTCCCTAATTGCCTGTGGTGGTTCGATGTGGTGTTGTCAAATACTGTAGTAATTATACACGACATCCCTCTGATTAACAGTCTGTGATTACTGCCCCATGTCAGATCATTTCTTTCTCTCCCGTTTAAAGACAGTCATCCATTTTCTTGGCGACAACATATTTCAGAGGAAGAAAAAGAAAAGAGGCCTTATATTACCAACCCATCAAACAGGCTTTGATCTTTAAACCCTGACAATATAATGGCATGAAGAAAAAGAAGTGAGGGGGGTGGAAATATTAAGAAGATCTGCATTTTCATTCGACGTTTCCCCCCCAATGCTTGCAGAGTGTGTGGAAAATTAGCTTTCAGTGTGTGTCTGTGTGTGAGCTGCCAGCAGTGAGGGAGCAGGGAGAAGCATGCAAGGGGTCATGGGTCACTTCGTGGGCTAAACAGGATTGGAGTTCTCCATCTTCCTAAGAAGGCCAGACAACCACTGCGGCTGTATCGCACAACATAGGCCTTTCACACACTCCTTCCTTCCCTTCTCTCCTTCGTCTCTCGTTCACCTCCTTTTCTTTTCTCCTTTGGAAAGGCGCAGTAATCCATAATCCATAATCCACTCAACTATCAGCGGCTCAATTATCCCTCCCGTTCACCCATTTTCTCCCCTCGGATGGAGATTCAAAAACAATTAACCTCTTCACGGCTGGGGACTTTTCCCAGGAAAGGGCACAGTGGTAATTCAATGACTCCGCCATTTACATTCCTGACCATGACTTCACTGCTTCACGCATAAATCTGGTTACCGTAAATCCTAACCTGTGGCTTTGTGATTGTCCAATGTCATTATCATTGATGTTGTATTATCACGCTATGAAGACAGTATTTTACTTCAAGCGGGATTTAACAGGACAATTTGTTAATGTTTACATAACACCCTCCTGACCTACTTAAACCTTACTAGATTAACATCGTTTGTACTCAAACATGTTGACAGATTAGTGATTTAGAAAATTATGCCTTCATTGAACCTAAAATGATAATTATTCTCATTTCATTCTCAGTCGACAGTGCCATCCTGCAAACTGGACTATTTCACACCAAGTGTCTATAAGCTATGGTGCATCCCCCCACATCCTCAGCCTTCAATAAAATGTTGTCTTCTCCCCCTTCGTTATGGAGGGGCCTCCTATTCATCTCCAGGTAGAAAGCCTCAAAGTGTAGGAGGGAAGAACAGCTTGTTGCACCCATTGAGCTTTTTATTACTTCCCCCTTCAAAGTGTGGTAGCAGAGGAAGAGAAATCCACAATCTCCTTGATGCCATGATACACAGAAAAAACACACAAACAAGTGGCAGGATTTAGTTTGGATCTCTGTGCATATTTTACCAACACTTGTTCTACAAAATATCATATTTGAGGAGATTACGTGCTTGAGGGTACAAAGAGAGCCCAGCTGTTAGGGGATAATCTTCTGACAAACAAGTTTATAAAAAATGGACATTGTTGACGAAAACAACTCCTAAATGATTAGGCTCTTTCGACTCAAACAGAAAAACATAATTTACAACTCTGTTAGTTCGGATTTTCACTGTGTTGTCAAGCAAAGATGTCAAACAAAGACTCCACTCCAATCAGCCATTTTCCATAACGCAAGCTAGCTTCTTATCTAGCTAACCCAGCAGCAGCCAAATGATGTAATCCCCAACCAACACACATTGAGAAAACAGAGTATTGAAGACAAATGCGTCCGTCAAAAAAAATCCCACACATCAAAGCATTTTTACCAACTCCCACCTCTAAATAGTGTTTTTTATTTCCTTTTGCTGGATTTCAGAAGCTACATCGGCTTAAACCTGAACTCAGAGACGCCCACCGTCAGAGCCGAGGTGCTGCAGACAGCATTAATAACCTCCAGTAGAGTGAAAATGGAATCTTTGAGCAGGAATTATATTTAATGTTTATTTGAAGCTCAAAATATATGAAAAATATTCAACTCCTGTTCATTAATAATGGGGTATTTATTTTATTGACCCTAATTATTTTTAATTACGAGACTCACACCGGAAACACTTAAAACAGGGGAAACATCAAGCTTCAGAGCCTCCTGTATGTGGTATGAAAAAAAATCCGAACAGCGATATAAGCTTTGTACAATTAATGTAATGCTTTAAAAAAGAGCCAAGTAGCATCGAACATAAACGCCAGCTAAATGAACAAAATCGAAAATGTGAAATAACTACAGGCGCAATGGCCATATCTATATTCTTGCAGAGGCTCGCCAGAACAGCATAACTGAAATCTCACTCTCTCACACACACACACTGAGACACACACACACACACACACACAGAAGAAGTCTTTGATGTTTCCATATGAGTGTGTGTATTGCAGCTGTGTGAGTCACCCACACTCCATCCACGATCCATATAGGCTACACAGTGGCAGCAATAGTAGCAGTAGCAATGAAACTGCAACTCTGTGCCACGCAAACACACTCACAAATAACATAGCGTGTCTTGATTGTGGATGGAGAAAGAGGCACGGGCAGTGCCAGTCAGGCCAGCATGCTTTCAAAAAAAAAAAGGGAAGAAGAAGCAGAGGAAGAAAACCTCAAACAACTGGCTGTGCTCCAGACGGACTGGAACTTCTCTTGATCATTATGTCTAGCCTTCAGGTGTCTGGGGTCGGCCGACTGTAGGTGGTAGTTAGGTTGAGAGTGGTGGGAGGATTAAGCGGCTGGGGGGGGGGGGGGGGGGGGGGGGGGGAGTGTAGATAACACAACAGCCAGACAAAGAGGGAATAAGAGGGCTGCCTACATACCAACAGCATCAAGGAAAGGAGGGTGTGAGGCAAGGGAGGGAGAGCAACGAGAAGAAAAAAATGAAGGGTTATACAAATTTCATTAGACAATCCTTTGCCGAAGTGACTTTCTGTATCGTTTTCTTTTCTTTTCATTTTTGTTTTGTCAGCTCCACTCCCTTCTCGCTCCCCTAGAGCGCCGCCTCAGAGAATGGGGCAGACAGACTTTATAGGTCCTAATTAAAGCCATCTGAAGCCTTTCAAAACATCAAATGGCCCCGGTCCCCCGCTCTTTCACTCTGATTGTGCAGAAATCACGGAAAATCAGAGGGCACAGGTTGCTTTGGCTCCAAAATGTACATACATTTGGGCAACAGCCCCCCTTCCTCCTCCGCTAACCCCACTACCTCCTAATCTCCAATCAATACAAGGGTTCAGTGAAAGATATGACCACATTGAGTGCCTGTCAAATTCACTATAATTTGACATAAACTAATTTCTGGGGGGGG